ATGATTTGTTAGTAGAAATTATTATGTAATAAAATAAAAAATAATAATTAGTGCAAAATAAAACAGAAAATGAAAACAAATTTCATAATTCTTTGTCAACAATCTATAATAAAACCTCCATATTTTTTTGTTTCCCAACAGGGGTTGACTCAAGTGGTAAGCAGCTTGATGTCGCTTAAGCAAGGTCTCGGGTTTGAATCCTTGTGGATACAGAAAAATCTTGTTGGGAGACTCACCCACCACTGCCAGGTGTGCGACCCGAGTCGACCAACGGATTAGTCAGGCATAGTTCCGGATACCATGGCTGGCTACCAAAAAAAAAACCTCCATATTTTTCCTACCAAAAGAGATTACATTTTTTTTCTTTATCTATATAATTTTTTTGCTGTTAAAAAATGGAAATGACAAAGTTTTCCCTCCAAAATTTTCAAGTATGTGTGGAAAAGTGTTACATTTTATATTACATTGTAATCATGTTCTATTAATTAGCTATCATATAATAGCTATTAGTAAAACCAATTAATTATAATTTACATTAAATGTTATATGTAAGTTACATAATAAAAAAATTATATTTCATTTATTTTTAATATTTAGTCTAAAAGTAATATTAGTATTTTTAATCATATAATTAACATAATGCAATGAAAAAAACTTAAACAATTTCTAATATCAATAATAATAATATATCATTATTGTTATTATTATCTTAATAGTTTCCAGATAATTAATTAGTCATGATTCTTCAAAGTAACAAATATTATGCTATATATTATATTTTATGCAATAATATAGGGATTCCTATATAGTTACCTAATTTGTATTTATATTCCTCATCTATATATATATAAACAGATTTACCATTTTTTAAAAATGGCAGGTCAATTTTAGTCAAAATCTCTATTTGCATTTATTGCTTTCCTTTAATGGAAACTTTATTTTTTAAAATAAAAAAACATGGATCACATTAATTATAAAGAAATTCAAAAAATTTGTTAGATTGTTATCCCAACAATTGCGGAGTTAACTTTTTTTAAAAAAAAAAAATTAAAATACACGGATAACAATAACTATAATGAAATGCAATCCAACAAACCTGTTACATTGTTATTCCAAGCGTTTTTTTTTTT